AATAACACCAAAATACGTAATTTGAAAGTGTTTTTCGAATTAAATCCAAATATTCAAAGCTTTGCAACTAGTTCACATTGCATTTGGGATAATCGCGTTGAGCTCATGGAACTGCCAACGCAATTGAATTCATTGGACGTTAAACATTTTGGTAACAATTTCTACTTTACTGAAAAGAATCCAGTTAATATGCTGGCTTTGATTGACCTATTAAATCGACTTTATGAGCGCGGATTTTATCGCCGATTACACTTTTCGGTGCCAGAAGTCAAACAGCAGCTTAGCGAACAATTGCTCTCATTGCGTGGACTGGAAAAATTAACAATCAATAAATTTACGCAGTGTTATGCGTTGCCGGCATTGAAACATTTGAAGGAACTGAACATTTTTGATTGCACAGATGCTGATCAGATGGAACCGATGGCAATTGGTCTTGTGAATCTTGAACGACTATTTTTACAACGAGCGTCCAACAGCCATATGTTACCATTCATTCGATATTCAATCAAATTGAAGCATCTCAAAATTTTGTCAACTGAAAGCGCCAATTTTCAAGGCGATGTCATCAATTTGCAGAAATTGAATCGAGAACGTGCAAAATTATTTGGAGCACGTAAAATCGTGATCTACATTGAGGACAATATATTCTTAGCTACTAAATGGTCATCAAGATATGGCGACACCGACTTGAAAATGATCGAAATGAAAAGATCGAATGCAATTTGCTGGGACTTTGATTATTCGACGGTTCGAACATTACATTAATTTCTATCCTTGAGCCGCCTGCAATGGCCAGACAATATATTTAGCTGCCGTCATCTGGATAGTTCAGCTCATCTGGATGCCGTCAGCAGATGATGCGAAGTGAAAACAATAGAAGTGATTGTTATAGTAATACCAGTATATAACAAGCTTATATACCTATAACAATCACTTCTATTGTTTTCACTTCGTATCATCTGCTGACGATATCTAGATGAGCTGTAATATCCAGATGACGACAGCCAAATATATTGTCTGGCCATGGCACATTTTCTTATCGAATATTTTATTTCATTTTAACAACCCAGACAAATGATGTTTGTCAGAAAATGTGTTTGTTTGAAAATAATAAATGGCAAACAAAGAGATTTTGTAATATTATTGTCTTGTTTCTTTTGCATCAAATTCTTTCAAGATAATATTCGCAACATTCCGGTTGGTACTACGCATCTTGCTCTTTGAATATATATTTTAAAATGAATTTTATTTCTTAAGCAAATTCTTATCACATTTTGTTCCATTTTTAAAACGCAAAAAATAAAATAAACAGAGAATATATTTCTTGTTAAAAAAATAACATGTGAAATACAAAAAAAAATTCGTTCATCTTATAGCGGCACAAGACTCGTGGAAACCAACGATGTCACAAATTAAAATTTCATTTCATTTTTTACAAATCACACATATGCCGTTAATCAGTGCTGTTTTTAAGACAGTTTTTAACAAATTTACTAGCAAATGTATATATGAAATTGTATAATCACAGATTGAAAAAGAGTCAGAATCAACAAATTCAGGCGGTAAGCTCAAACGGTTTGAGTCAAACCATTGAAACACAAGCTGAAAAATGAAATCTGAAAAAAATCAAACATCTGCTGAATGCTGACAAATCTGCTCTGAGCAAGTCAACATTTACGTCCCAAATTCATTCACAAAGTGAATTCCCCTTGATTTCCAATACATACGGCACAGTGAATAGAATCACACTGTTGATACTGTTTACTAATAAAATGCTGCATCTGTTCACTGACACACCGAACGTATTGACAAAAACAGCTGTTTTTGTCAAACGCAAAAGTCGTCTATGAGGTATATGTAGGAAGCCGTAAAAACTTCAGTCACAATATTGCACCTCAATTGAATACATCACATTCTTCTGCTGCAGCTCACGCAAAAAATTATATAATCACGTATCGACTTTGTTTGAATCAATTTTTTCTGTGAATACTTTGAAATTTTTTCAATATTGTGTATTTTCTGCGTCGTAATTAGTTTTGTTGATTTAACGAAATAAATCTCTGTTCTGAACATGTATTGTGAGTCACCAACTAAAAAGCGTAAATCTCATCACAGTGGTGAAATAAAAGAAAGCAATGAAGTTTCGCAGATTTTGATTCGGAATGAAATACTTTCCTCTTACACTTCAAGTGTGTGTGGAGAAGAAAAAACCGTGACGGTTACATCAAGCCGTGCTCTTTGGTCAAAGCCACCAATTTTCAAATTAAATTCTGACTGCTGTGACGAAATCTTCGAATACCTGACACTAAAAGATTTGCATGCACTTGGTAAAACATGCCGAGCAATGCAAATGGTTGCTGGCGAATATTTTGAGCGAAATTACAAAGGAGCAGAAAAATTCATCGATGATGATGGTGTTTCCACGGAGACCGGAGATGTGGATGAAAGGATCAAAACAACTGCATTCAACCCATTCACAAAATTCATTTCATTCTACGGTCAACGGGGACCGCTTTGTTACTTCAAATCATATAACGATGACTTCATCTCAGTCAAGCACTTGTACATTGCATATATGTCATTGAATAACATGAAGACGAAATATTTTGAAAGCATATTGCCAACGATTGAAGTTCTTCAGATCAGACAGTGTACGTTGTGGCGTGAACCTTCCGATTTATATGAAGTTTTATTGAAATATTGCACGAAGTTGAAGCGTCTTTATATTCAAGAAGATTTCGGTTACATTTTAAACGCAAGAGAAACTTGTTTAATGCGAAAGTATCCAACGCTCGAGCACTTGGAACTCACACCACGGAATAACACCAAAATACGTAATTTGAAAGTGTTTTTCGAATTAAATCC